TGACCTGGAAAAAACACATTTGGGTGTTTTATGAGACAGCTGAGGTTCCTTTCGCTCCTACTGGTACTGGATCAACATGTAACTTTACACTTTGGGTATTACAAGTTTGAGAATATAGATTAAAAAACTTCCAAGAAGAAAAAAAATCCAATTTTTATCTGAGCCCAACTTAAACATTCTTTAAAAAATAAAACACAAAAAAAACCAAACCTCATAGGCATTTTAGGTTGTTGAATTTAAACCACATTGCTGCTGGTCTGCTGGATTTTAGGAGAGAGGCGGTGTAGCATAGAGCATTCCTTAGGCAAAATATATTGAAATTATACATATTTAATGCTGTTAATAGAGCCTCAACTTCTAGTGCGGTGTTTTACGAGACAGCTGAGGTTGCTTTCTAAACCGCATTGCTGCTGGTCTGCTGGATTTTAGGAGAGAGGCGGTGTAGCATAGAGCATTCCTTAGGCAAAATATATTGAAATTATACATATTTAATGCTGTTAATAGAGCCTCAACTTCTAGTGCTTTCAAAGTTAATAAAACCTGATTTATTAAGCAATGCAGGTACTCTGAAAAGGCTGAATGCTAATTTTCCACTGCAGGCTATGAATGGCTTCAATGAAAGTTATTTTTTCTTAGGTATCTGATATAAATGTGAAGAACTCTAACACCTACCAAATGCTGTTTAAAACAAGCATTTATCTGCTCTGAAACTTTAATATAGCTGATAGGAAGAGCATCGTGGTGCCTCAAAGGAAGGACTTTTGTGTGCTCTCTGGAGCTGAGCTTCCCAAATGGTATTTAGGGCTTTTTATTACTACAGTAAGAGGTCTCTCATGTTTTCTTTGGCACGCTTAATACTTTCTGTTCTCAAGTCCCACTTCATTGCCGCAGCTGACTGTAATCGATAGCTCCAGTCACCTGCACCTGGTAAGTTCCTACATTTGGTGCAATTTTAATAGAGTCACCAGAGATTGGGGTGACTTAGCAGAAGGGACACGAGTGCTGCTGAACATCACTGCAGAAGCAATGAGGAAGGTTTCAGGTTGAAGTGGATGCTGATGTTCAAGACACTGCTGGCATCGCAGTTGCACCTTGAGCCTTTTGGAGCTTCAGCAGCTCCCCGCTGGTTCCTTCTTGGGAACAGAGCTTCCCGTGCCAGTTCAATGGGAATGCCCAGGCTTCCCAGATTCTGTGTCCCGGGTCTGGATTTTAAACGGGAGCTCGTTATGCAGAGCTGCATTTGAAGCAAGGGCCGAGCAGAGAAACCAGACATTTCTTGGTCCAAGTGGAAGTATGGTGAGGTTTCGGAGAATATTGTCACTAGGTGCATTAGTGCTGACACCACTGTAATGACATCCCATTGGAGGGAAAGAAGGGAGCGTACACAGCTGCAGCGGGCCAGGTGGTTCTCTGCACCTTCAATTGTGTAATCTTCACGTTAAGCCCATACAGGCTTTCAGGTTTCCCTTCATTAGCAAAAGAAGTGGCTCATATACACCCTCTATTGACTCTAGAACTCAAGTAAAATTAGAAAATTAGTAGCTATCTTTAATATCTGAGCTATTCGGCTGCCAATATGCTGTTTAGAGTATCTATAAAACTGAACATGAGAAGTCACTGACATGACCAGGTAATAAATAGAAAGTATCTCATCAGACCAGCTGTGTGTTTTGCAAATGTGATCATGTCTGTTGGGCAATTCAGTGCTCTGCTGCCGCTTTAATTATATTTCTAAAAATGTAATTAATTAAAGTGTAAAAATATACTCAGAAGACACGTGTGTAGGAAGTGCTCATGGTCAGACCAACAAAAACAGTTCCACAGCTGTCGACAGCTTTAGATCAGAGAAGTGCTGTCTTGTAAGGTCTGTCACTGGGTTCCTGGTTTGTATCATCTGTCCAGAGGGACTGAAGTGGATTCAGAAATCTTGGCAATTAAAAGCTGTATCGTATCTGCTGATGTTTTTGTGCTTCAGCATCTTTATGTGTGCCAGCTTTCACAGCAGATTGATTAAGGAGTTGAAATGAATGTCCCTTTTTAAGCATTTGCTAAAGAAAGATACAGCATTTTGGGGGGGATCCAAACAGGGTATTCAGGAGACTTTCCAAGAGCATAAACTGTCTTTCATAAACATTGTCATGTTGGTATGGCCCACCTTGTAAAATTCTGTAATACAAAACCCCACTTCTGACTACAATTTAGGAGTACTGCTAATTCAGATTATGGGTCCTCAAGCCTGATTTCACTTGCTCGTACTCATATGGATTAACAAAAGCAGAATGTTAACTATGGTATCGGTGACGCAAACACTCTTGAAGGATCCTGTTTCCCCGTTTTCTCAAGAAATGAGAAAGTTACTGTTTGTAGTAGAGATTAAATCAGCGTTAAACCAGATGGAGTTCATTCTTTTAAAGTTTCCATGTTGCTGTGGTCTATAGGCGAGCAGAAGAGGAATGCTGGTTGTCTTGGAAGAAGTCGCTAGTCTCTTTCTCAGGCCTGATAGTGCTATAATAAAATCAGCAAGGGTTTCAAACAGAGTAATCCATCCAGTCTCAGCCCTCTGAAATACCATGTGAAGGAGTCTCCTGTGTGATTTATGAGCCTGCTGGGTAGATAGTTCAGTACCTTCGACATGATCCAGGTTCCTACAACTGGTGGATTCTGTCTGGGAGGCAAGCTGAGTACCCACGATGGTGCTGCTTTATTCAGGATTCCCTGGACAAGTTATATCATAGAATCATAGGATCATAGAGTACCGGGTTGGAAGGGACCACAAGGTCCATCCAGTCCAACCTCTCGAGGTAAAAGTGCAGGTTAAATGAGTTGAGTCAGCACCTGTCAAGCTGACTCTTCAAACTGACCAGTGGAGGGGAATTCACCACTTCCCCTGGGAGGTTGTTCCAAAGTCTGATTGATCTCATGGTGAAACAATTTCTTCTGGAGTCCAGTCGGAATCTCTCCAGACACAACTTGTGTCCATGACCCCTCGTCTTTTCCTTGTGAAAAGGGAGTCTCCATCTTCTTGGTAGCCACCCTTTATGTACTGGTACATGGTGATAAGGTCCCCCCTAAGCCTTCTCTTCCCAAGGCTCAAATTTTCTCAGCCTTTCTTCATACAGCAGCTCTTCCAGTACTCTGAGCATCCTCGTGGCCCTTCTCTGGACCCTTCCAACCTGTCTGCATCTTTTTTTGTAACTTTGCACTACCAGGACACTTGGCAGCCCTTCCCAGCCCAAGGATGAGCTATCCAGTGGTTTCTAAATCCAGTGAAATTTGTGCGTGCACCAGTTTTTCTGTTACAGCTCCTGCTCAGCTCTCCCTTAGCAGGTTGTCTGTTTAAACTTCACTGCTTCCAAAACATGAGAATGACTTTTGCTATATGTAAAGGCACGTTTCTTAGTGTTTTCCTCCATCCCAGTGCTTTAAAACGTCTTGATTTACTTTTTTTATAACCCGTAGCTTTTATTTTCTAATGTTATGTTTCAGCTTATATCCACATTTTTAAAGGAATATCAGTTACCTTTTCCCTGTATATTACATGCAAATAAATGAGAAGATGAAGAGGAAATGAAACTGTGTAAGAACGCGTGTTAAATTATTAATTTTTGTAGATGCCTGTTCTTTCTCAGAGTTTTTCTATAACTGCTCCACTCGTCATTATTTGCAAATTGCCAGTGATGGTCTCAGTTCTCCTTTCAGTAAATGCCCTCATTCCAGACACTTCCACATCAATCAGACCTCGTATCAAATCCACGAAGATTCGTTATCATTTTGGAACATGTGGGGCCAGACAAGCAGTCAGCTTGCCCAGCCTTATCAGCAGGAGAAAAAGTCACATCATGACAGAACAGCAACAAGCATTAAGTCCGTAGAGAAAACGGACCTTTAGTTTTCAAAACTCTTTGCTGTTTCAGTTCAGATCGACTCGTGACTTTGATTTACTCGCTTCTTCCCCGGTTTGTGGGGTTTTTTTTTCATCATCCTCTTTTGAAGTCTTTAGGGAAAAATAAGTTTATTGGGAAAATACCAGCTCCCATTCTCAGTCTGGTTCCTGACCTCATAGATGATGATGTGTGGTGTGAATTGCAGCCAACTCCATAAAGGTGCGGTGATGGTGTTAACTGGGAAGATCGTCCCTTGGCAGGGAGATTCTGTGGAGCTGCAAAGACTGCGTATTTCCCCAAATTTATCTAGACCTTCCATCCTGGACAGCTGGAGAAGCAGCAGCGGTTTGTGGATGGGCAGGCATGGCTTCCGTTCAAAGGGAAATATTGGGTGTCGTAGGCCTACGTTGCTTCCTAATTCTACACGGTGCTGCTGAAATCCTCCAGCCCCTGAATTGTCCTTCTGAGCCCTTTTTACAGTACTACAGCATCTCCAGAAACTGTCGGTGGAGAAGGCAGTGACCTAAGACATGAATGTATAAATAAGAGAAGGTGATCTTGTCACATCATTTGCTGGGACTTTAGGACAGTGGAATAAGGCCATTAATCTGGTGTTCCTTTTTTTTGCAGGGTGGGAATAACGCAGGCCATACTGTGGTTGTCGATGGGAAGGAATATGATTTTCACCTGTTTCCTAGCGGCATCATTAATCCAAAGGCAATTTCTTTTATTGGTAAGGCAACTTTGGGACTTATAAAATACTGCTACGTGGTGGGTGGCTGCAACCATAGTTTTTAGTAGCAAATAAAAAAAATGTATAGGGGCCTGTCAGTCAGATTTCCTTTAGGTTCAGCTGTTTGACTTTTATTTCACTGCTGTTTTAACATGAAGAGTTATTCTATGTTCAGTATCAGCTTAGTGTGTGTTACTAGAAAACAAAGTAGAAATGAACCCTCTCTTTCCATCATGTTACTCTTTCTTATACTTTCTGGTGCAAGTTTGGGTCCCACCCTCTGCTTGCACACTCCTTTTATTCTTTCAGAAATATAGTTGCTATACTTCGAGCACACAAAACCCAGCACTTAGGCTAAATAAAGAATACCATTTATCTCTGGTGTCTCTTTACTGACTTTCCAGAAACAGGCCCCAAGATACGGGGCTCTGCTTGCAAGGTCACCGGACATTAAGCTCATATTAATGTTGTAAGCAAATATGAACTTGTGCAAAATCATGATTCTTTCTGACAGAAAAAAAACCACGTATTCAGGCTGTGGAAGAAATGAACATCAGTTTTAGTGAGTCACAGAACTGCAGCTGCAGTTTCGTTCCTTTTGATAATTTTGAGTGGATGATTGAAATACATGAGACATATTTTTTTCTCTCTGCTCCATATAGTGTATTGTCTTGCTTTCCACTTTACTCCTTTGTCAGTTAATAAAGAATATAACTTAAGTCATCCTAAATTTAGGCTGAGGCAGACTCTTGCAGGTTCCCAAGAAGGAAGCAGCAGCTCTTTCCAGCCCACTGCATCACTCACCCTCCACGTCTCCTCAGTAATGCTCTGCGTTGCTTGTGCATTCTGTGTGGTAGCTCAAAAGCAGGGAGAAGGCATTGCTGATGTATTCCAGCATCAGTCGGAGCTGAGTTTAAAACAAATATGTGAATATTGAAGAAAATTAAAATACTGTCACACAGACCTGCCTGTGTTGTAAGGCCACGGGTTTCTTTGAGCTTTCACAAGTGAACAATTGAGGCTGAAGTCGCGGTGCAAAGTCCACCACGAACAAAGCCAAGAATCCGCTTACCTCAGCTGGCTTTGGAGCGGGCCCGGCATTCACATCCCAAACAAGCAAGCTCTGTTGTTTCTGGTTTTAGCAGGCTTGTCGCTGCTTACCCAGAATGAGGGCTTGTCAAAAAATTCTCAAGATTGCTTTGTGAGAAATGTGAGAAACTTCGTCTTGCTTCTTAAATATTCAGACGGCGAGTGTTTACGTGCCTTACGTCCTACGAATGGGTGTTTTATTTCTTGCTTTAAAATAAATCATTTATGTTCCTGTAGGTAATGGAGTGGTTATACATTTACCAGGCCTGTTTGAAGAAGCTGAAAAGAATGAAAAGAAAGGTTGGTATCGAGTAATTTTTCACCTTCCTTTATATGGCAGCCAGGCTGAGGGGTTTTTTAAGCCTTTGTTACTGACCGTAAATATTCAGTGCGATAGCGTTCTGGATTTTAAATGACGAGGAAAAATGGTATTTAAAATGTTGAATTATGTTGGTGTCTTCAGACTGATTTTGTAAAGCAATCTTTTCATGTGTTTCCAGGGAGTTTTATGGCATTTGGTACCACGTTAGACAGAAAATATCCTAAAGGGTGTGGCAGAGCTCCCTTTGACCTCAAACTGAGATGATTGAACCCAGTTTCTGTGCCCAATTTTAAGCTGATTTGGTTGTGCTTTAAGTGAGGCTTTGGACCAGGTGACCTTCTAAGGCCCCTTACATCTCACATTGTTTTATGGCTCTCTACGTATAATTTCTCTATTTTCTGAGGCACACGTTGAGTTTGTGATTTATCATATACTGAGTTAGACAAGAATCTTTCCTTAAAATAAGAATTGCATGCAGGCCACAGCATTCTGGCATTGAGAAGTGAGTATCTTTGTGTATACCAAGACGAGAAAACTGCAAAAGTAAAAGACAAGAAAGGTTTGTTAATGAAGTAGTTGCTGATATTTGATACTGATATTCACTTATGTTTTATCCATTTTCTTTACAGTCTTCTTAACAAGAAGTTGTGTAAACTAGAAGAAAGACAAAGACAGACTAAAATTAAATCTCAAAGTCTGACTGACCAATCAGCACAGCTGAAACCCTGCTTTTCTTTATATCTTCTGACAGGTTTAAAAGATTGGGAGAAAAGACTGATTATATCAGATAGAGCACATATAGGTAAGTGGTGATTGAAGGGGGAAAGATCTCACAAGTGAATGCTCACCTTGTGGTGCTAAATGCCATTATTACTCCACAGAGCGAGCAGTCGTGGTTTTGAGCTAATGAGGCTTCTTTGTATGTTGTGTATCTGAAATGCGATGGAGTTTGGACCCGCTGAAGAGTGCTGGTTTACATTTTCTCGCATTGTTTAAGGAATACGCGCTCTGTTTTCGCACGAGGAAGCCTGTGCGCTATCAAAGATGACAGAGGCGCTGTGTCTTGAAACGATAGATGTCTGATTTAAAGAAGAGTGTGTTTCTTCTTTGGTCTCCCACTATGTCCGTTTGATTTTCCATTGCAGTCTTTGACTTTCACCAGGCAGTAGATGGGCTCCAGGAAGTGCAACGTCAAGCACAAGAAGGCAAAAAGTAAATATTTTCAGTACCTTCATTTCATTAACAATTATGCCTATTTGAAAAAATTGATGTAATTTTGGAGATCAGCAATGCGGTGATCTCTAAAGAGCCTTGCTGATGTTACTAATTCTGTCACTCTGTTCTGCTCCCGCTTATGTTAGTGAACAAATTCTGAGGTGTTACTGAAAAGGCAAGGGATGAATTCTTACGTGTTGCCATTTCCCAGTTCTCTGCAGCATACGGAAACGTTCTGAAATTCCTAGCAAATCCTCAAAGCTCATTGCCATTAAAATGATGCTTCCCATCCAATTTGATGTCAAGCTAGCGATGCTCTTTTGAATCAGGTCTGAATTGTTGGCGTGACTAGGTTCCATACACACTAGTTGTCAATTGACTTACACTTTATGGACATACTAGTTTCTATTTTAAATTTAATCTTACTCTTTAGCATGGTATGTAACTTTTCATACTTCGTTATTCTGGTTTCTGAAAGAAGAAAGGTTTATGTGAGCACACTGTGTTTTCCTCTGTTAGTCTATTGGTTTTTTATCTCGTTGGGCAATTTCAGTCAAACTTAACGTACGAATAGAGATCTCAAAATGACCGTATTTCAGAAATGCACACAAAACCAGGCATGCAGGTAGGGAGGCAGTTTCATATTTATCCTTGCCAAGGTAAAGGCTGCAGCAGTAGTTCATAGGGACAGAGATGGGGTGAATAAAAGCCAGGTTTGATCACTCACACAACTGGTGGTTGTTTACAGCTAAAGGCAGTGCTGCAGCTGTGACAATGGGAACGTGAAACCTGTTTCCTATTGCTCGTGGTAAGGACTGCAATAGTTCCACAGGACAGTATAGTAACCAATATTACTGCATAATGTATGTCCATACAAACATAGTTTTGAGTAAGCTTGTCTCAGCCAGACTCAAGGCTTAATGCTTTATTTCATGCCATGAGTATTAGCAATATTTATGCAAATCCACTGAAGTATGAACATGTTATGTATTTATTATTATAGAACTTCAGGTGTTTCTTTTATTGTCTCAGCTCTTCTGCCCAGTATATGGTATATCTAACAAATTTATGTAGCATAAAGCATATTTTTGCATATATTTATATGTGTTTGGGGGGGGTTTCTTTTTAATTAGCATTGGCACAACAAAGAAGGGCATTGGACCAACGTATTCTTCCAAAGCTGCACGAACAGGCCTTCGAATCTGTGACCTCCTTTCTGACTTTGATGAATTTTCTTCCAGGTACCAACTGTTTTCATTTCTAAATATTCTGTTAAAGTGTGATACATTTTGTCTGTCAGATTTGCTTTTAGGGAGGTGTTTTTAAATACGTGTCTGAATTTTGTATATAGATTGTCTAGGAGGAAAAGAAAACTGGAAAGAATTTGTGTGTGTATTTCCTGTACTTCACAGAGTTTCTCATCGTTTCAAATATGATTTTGTACAGTGGGAAATGCCCTGGTTGAAGTATTGGAGTTCTGGGTATTTTCTCCTTATAGCTCTCAGTGTATATTGTGTATAATATAAACGGAGTTCTTGCCAAAGGTTCTACGCACAGTGACTCAAAGATTGTTCTTTATAGAAATTATTTCAATATTTTACAGATTTAAAAATCTGGCCCAACAGTACAAGTCAATGTTTCCCACATTGGAAATAGATGTAGAAGGACAATTGAAAAAGCTAAAGGTAAGGATTTAACACTTGTAATATTGGTTCCGTTTCAGGGAAAGTAGAGAGGAAAGCTGTACTGTTTATTTTAATTAAAAAAAGGTAAAAATAAATTGTACCAGAACTATTACTTAATAAACTAATTAATTTAAATGAAAAAAAAAAGCATGTCCTCGTTATTAGAAAACCTTTTAATAAGCATTAGCTATGCTTGTAATAGAGTGTTCTCTTATTGTGGGCATTAACATAAATTATGTGGATGATTTAATTTTTCTATAATATTAAAGCAGCCAAGAGAATGCAGGGTGGCACTTGCAGTCTTTAGCCGTGCTCTGGGCCATCTGAGAGACTTCTGTGCTTACCGAGGAGCTGTTTAAATGGAAGCTGTGTTTCAAGATCCTGGTATTACAAGAAAAAATGTCTTTTTATAAATAAATAAAGAGGAGCCACTGGTAAAACGTCTCCTTTCATGAATATGTAAGAAAAGAGGGTGCTAAAAAAATCTCTTACCTTTCCCGAGTTTTATCTGGTGCTTGTTCAGAAGTGACACTCTGTCTCTACAGATATTTTTTTAATGTTCGTGAGTGGTGATTTTTCTTTTTCTTTTGGAGCTTGCAGTATTTCTAAGCCCCACTCTGTGTCTGTAGACTATAGAAGTGCTGTATCGAGCCCGTATCAGCCAAATGAGGTAGTTGTGCAATGTGCCTGCGAACAGAGAAATTAAAATGCCATATAGCATTATAAAGCCATAACAAATCATCTTATGCGAGTGGTTCCGCATATATTGATTAGTTTTCAATAGAATATAAGCTGGTGGTTGTATTTTGCAGGTAAAACAACAATTATTGAAGCTGGTGTCAGGGCTATCTGTTTGTTTCGTGTTTCAGAAGTGAACACAGTGTTCCTTGCTGCCACCCGTTGTCTGGGGAAGCTGACATTTCTACTCACATTTGCAGGGTTATGCTGAAAAAATAAGACCTATGGTTCGAGATGGGATATATTTTATGTATGAAGCTCTTCACGGCTCCCCAAAGAAGATTCTTGTTGAAGGAGCCAATGCAGCGTTACTTGATATTGACTTTGGTAAGTTAAATTCTAAACTCAATTGAACTCCTAAAAAAAATCACTGTTCTTTTGATTAATTTTCTTTTGATTTGTGTTTGTATCAGCTTTACAAACAGCAGGAGAATAAGGAAATAAAATAGTTTTTCCTTTTAATAGGAACAGATCTCCCAAAAGTAAAGCACGGGAAGCCAGAGGTGGTGTCGTTAACAGGATTAAGTGCTTAGAGTTTAGATACTGACTTTTACTGAAGCTTATTCCAGTGGAGTTGACATTTCACTCTGGATGTTCTTGTCTTTATTACTCCCCAATGTGTGGGCACCCATGGCAGTGCTGCCGAGGTAATTGCAGTGAGGGAGGATTAAACTGGAGCAGATAACCTGTAAGTCCAGCTTCTTCAGTTGATCTCTGCTCTCTTACCAAAAGTGCAATTAAAACACTTTGGTTTCCATGAAGATGAAATGAAGAACTGGAGAGGTTCTCCAACCCGCAGTCATGGTGTAGAGGTTGTGAGTAACCTCTTAAGGCTTAGAAAATCTGCTGCAGACGCTCAGAGGTGCTTGTGTAGAGCACTGGGAATGTCAGACTGACCTTTACGCCGGGCTCTCTGCGGACGTCACAGAAATACTTTCTGTGATACACGGGGCAGTGAGAAAAGCTTTGCACAGCAGCAGCATCCCACAGTGGATCCAGTGCCTAATGGAAGTAGTATGGAGGTGCTTCTAGGTTTCTCCCTTGTGGGCAGTCCTCAGGGAAAGCAGCAAAGGATGAATGCAGGAGAGCTTATGCATTGGAACAGATCCTACATACCTGATACCTCCTTAAATATAAGAAAGGGGTGTATTTTTTTACTTGTCTGTGTGAACTTCTCACTAATAATGTGCTTCTACAAATTGCCAGGATAAGTCAGTTATTTGAGTGGAAAGAAAATCCTTCATTCTGGGGGATTTCTGTGGAGCTTTAGCATTCTAAATACGTGTTACTCACTATAGGGGGAAGCAATCTGGGGAAGGACAGCTTAATTTGTTCTCTTAAAAGCAAAATGGGGACATGTAGTAAGAAATCCTCGCTCTGCTCTTTGGCTGCCATTTCAGTTTCAAAGCCAAACGCACAGGAGAAGATCTCCTTTCATCTCTTTGTTATCACTCACTCTTTTTTATCGTGCTGTTGTGTTTTTCCGACAGGCACGTATCCCTTCGTGACTTCATCCAACTGCACTGTGGGTGGCGTATGCACCGGGCTTGGTGTTCCTCCGCAGCACGTCGGAGATGTGTACGGGGTGGTGAAGGCCAAAATGGGAATTGGAGCCTTCCCCACCGAGCAGATTAATGTAGGTTTAATGCTACAAAATGCAGTATATACAGTTGCCAAAAAATAAGGTTAATAGAATGGGGTAAGGGTTTACCAATGATAAATAAGCACTATAATGGTAATGCCAAGCAGTCACATCCATGAAGAGAGGAGAATTACGTTATAAACTTAAAGTATTTTTCTTCAGAGGAGAGAAACACAAATGTGATCACAGAATCACAGAATGTGAGGAGTTGGAAGGG